TTAGTCAAGGAGAAATCCGAAAAAAAGAGGGTTAACCCGGAACAAATTGCTTAACAAACTTTTCCTACGTAAACTTCTTCAGTAGGTCCTATTGAACAACATACCAAAAGTTTACCACGGTTCGCTCCCGGAACACCCCCCCAAATTGCCTAAATTTCAAAATGGCGGCCATAATAAGGCCTCTGGGAGTTCGATTTTTTTAAAAATACGCATACAGTGTCATGTGAGGTGTCAATTCCTATGTAATTTTGGTCGTAGATTTCAAATATGAAGTAAAAAAAGTCCCTTGATCAAAAGGGGGTACCCCAAATCCAAGATGGCAGCCAATTTTGAAAGTCAAGAGGGTGGATTTTTAAAAAGTTCGCGTGATAAGGCAAGTGAGGTATCATTTCTTATGTAATTTTGGTCGTAGATTTCATTTATGAAGTCATAAAAGCCCTCAAGTCAAAGGGATTGCTCCAAATGCAAAGATGGCGGCCAGCTTTGAAAGGCAGGAGGGTGAATTTTTGAAATGTTTACGTGACATCCCTAGTAAAATAGAATCAACCTGACGTCAGGGTATGTTTCATAAACTACCCTGAGTCAGATTGATATCAGCCTGAATTAGTCTGACTCAGGGTAGTTTATGAAACGTCAGGTTGATTCTATTTTACTAGGGATGTCACGTAAACATTTCAAAAATTCACCCTCCTGCCTTTCAAAGCTGGCCGCCATCTTTGCATTTGGAGCAATCCCTTTGACTTGAGGGCTTTTATGACTTCATAAATGAAATCTACGACCAAAATTACATAAGAAATGATACCTCACTTGCCTTATCACGCGAACTTTTTAAAAATCCACCCTCTTGACTTTCAAAATTGGCTGCCATCTTGGATTTGGGGTACCCCCTTTTGATCAAGGGACTTTTTTTACTTCATATTTGAAATCTACGACCAAAATTACATAGGAATTGACACCTCACATGACACTGTATGCGTATTTTTAAAAAAATCGAACTCCCAGAGGCCTTATTATGGCCGCCATTTTGAAATTTAGGCAATTTGGGGGGGTGTTCCGGGAGCGAACCGTGGTAAACTTTTGGTATGTTGTTCAATAGGACCTACTGAAGAAGTTTACGTAGGAAAAGTTTGTTAAGCAATTTGTTCCGGGTTAACCCTCTTTTTTTCGGATTTCTCCTTGACTAACCCCCCAAAAACCCAAAAGTCGTGGATTTAAGGATATGAATTTTGGGCAATATGCACGAATAGCTATCTACTGGCACTTGATTGACTCAAAATGTATAGGATATGCATTTACGAACTACAAAAACAGCCTAACTTGACTTTTTCAGCGCCTTGACCCGAAATTCCCGCCAAAAAAGCGAAAAATCGCGTTTTCTCAAAAACGGCCCCATCACAGATTTCGCGGTTTGTTGTTCCTCAATCAGTAGGCCTTCTAGTTGACATTTCCGCAAAAAAATCGCGGGTGGTATGTTGACTGCATTAAAATTGTTTAAAACGCACCGTGCGTATATAAACGTACATCGAGTACACTTACGAGTTCCTACCAACTGATATTGACGTTCAATTTATCTGTTAAAGCGCTCCGCTACTCGACTAGATTAAAACGTCGAAAGACCGAGAAAAATTAGGGTGTGACAATTTAAAAAGCGAAAAAAAAGGAAACGAGAGAAAGAGGATACAAATGTAAAGTGGATGTGAATAGAAATAAAATGACTGCACGCACCACTCTGCCAATCAGTCGGAGCCGCGCTGTGTCGCGTCGATTCGAATAAAAAGTCGGCTCGGGCCCGCCGGAAAATTGTGTTCGAACTCTCTTACGAGTGTTCCGCGGACGGATCGCGAGGGAGGAGAATGATCTTTGTCAGTTACTGCGCTTTGCGTCAAAGCCTCTCAGTGTTCTCGTCTTTCAGCTTATTTATTTAAATTACCATTTCAAAGTAATTCACCCATAAGTGCATCTTTCCAAGTCACATGACTCCTCTCGCGGTGTACTCCTAAAACCTACCCCCAGGCCGCTCAAATGCACATATGCTCCCCCACCCCCTCGCAGCTCATCGCGAAAACTTGCAAAAGACTCGCTTCTTAATAAAATGATGCTCTGTACTCGCCTTTTTTCTTTCAAAGCCGAGTCTCTCCGTTTCCCCTTTTTAACACTCCTCTTCGTGGCATTTCTTTTCTAGGTCATGTCTTTGTTTACTTTTCCATCATGCCAATCACTAATCAAACCGTGGAATCGTAAACGGTTGATGGGAAAGAGCAAAAAGCGACAATACACCTATCATAATGATCCGAGTGTGCAATTGCTTTTCGTCGTATGAGTCAGGTGTATTTACCTATGTTTTATGCGAGATTAAACCAGTACAGCTGTGAGAGAAAAAAGTTAACTGTAAGTCGTGCCTCTGGTTTTGTCAGGCACGCCGCACAGTGCAGTGTCCCATGGACAAAAATCGAAAATTCGACTTTGTCGGATAATAAAAATGACCGCTGGATTGAAGAAATGGATGGATGGGAAGAAAAAATTCGAAGTTACTTGACATGAAAATGCTATTGAAAGGGTGGGAGGGGGAGGGAAAATCACGGAACCTCCGCGGATGCAGAATTAGCAGAGATCCAGCAGCGGGCATCATGTGTTATGACGGGTGGTAACTGATATTATCCTAATCAGAACGGAACAAGGTAGAATGTTTAGGTACAAGGTATGTTTGTCTATACAAAAACGATGTTGATTATTTTAAATTCTTAAATTAAGGGCCTCTCAGTCCGGTCTTCCGTTGATGATGCCAAAAATTCGATTTATTCCATATACACATCTTTAAATGTAGATTAAAAAAATATATCAAAATATATCAACGCAATTTTTTGATATGTTGTTCACAATACCCTCCAGATTCAGAATATGTTTAGTTTTAAACCACGTACTGCCACAAATCGACGGAATCGTCATTTTTGTGACCTCAAGTCAGGGCTCAGGCGCGCACTGAGCGGCATATTGGCTTATGATCATGTCTTTAAACATAGATTAAAATAATATATCAAAATATATCAACGTAATTTTTTGATATGTTGTTCACAATACCCTCCAGATTGAGAAACTGTTTGGCTTTCAGCTACAAATTGTCACACACCAACGAAATCGTCGGTTTTGTGACCTCAAGTCGGGAATCGGATATACTCGTTGAACTGCATGATGCGGTCTCTGTTTAAGGCGAACTTCATGATTCCTTTCTGACAAAGAAAAAAAAAGTTACATACACATGTGGTTATTAGACATGATGTTCATTCTATGCAATACTCTAATACATACCCCCCCCCCTCCTCCCGAAAATTCTATCCGTCTTTCGGCGTCGTCCTCCAATTTTTCGGAATAGCGATTTTCCCTCGGATAATCACAGTGCTTGAGCATTTTTTGTTCTTGCGACTTTCTTCTCACACAAAAATTTAAAAAAAAATTGTAATACGTGTTAAAAAGGTTTAATCTGGGTAAAGGTAACAGGGCTTGTTGTTAACCAGTAGTATCAGATCAAATCATGGGGAATGTGCCGTGACCGTCTTTTTCCGACCAGAATCGATCTCACTATAATTGTTCCAGCCCTCCCCCCTCCAGGTGCTGCTGTAAGAATTTAATCCCATCCAACGATAGACTGTATGAATAGGAGGTCTCATGTCAAATTTTCCATCTCTCTGTCCATCTGTCTTTGAGCTACGAGTTTTGTTCCTACCGCCCGAACGCTCACTATTTAGTAACTTTGCGACCGCTCCACCCCTCCCCGCCGGAAGTGTCATTTAAAAAATTTGACCTCATCTAACGATGGCCTATCGGTAGGAGAGGTCGCACCCAAATTTCTTTTCTGTATGTGCTATCAACTTCGGACTAAAATGTTTGTGCCTACCGCCCAAACGCACGTCTACAAGTATCACTGCTTCCGCCCCCCTCACCCCGCCGCAAGTGTCATTATGAAATTTTGACCCCATCCGACAATAGCACATATGTATAGGAGGTCTCCTATCAAATTTCACTTTTCTATATCTTCCTGTCTTTGAGCTATGAGTTCGGTCTCTACCGCCCAAACACTCGCCTTCAAGTATCAGTACTCCCGCCCCCCTCCTTCCGCCTCAAAGTGTCATTAACAAAATTTGACCTCATCTAACGATAGTCTATATGTTCAAGAACTTTCATACCAAATTTCACCTCTCTATGTGCTTTTGTCTGCGAGCTATGATTTTTGTCCCCACGCGCCATAAGGACACCGCACTGTGCGCCGTGAGATAAGAAGCGTCACAGCTCGCTGACAGAGTTTGCTGCACGTGTGCTTCGGTGAAACTGCGACCCGTCAGCTTTTCGGATTAAGCAGAACTACATGGCTGAGATATAGTGCCGCACTTAAATTTGTTACCATCGTGCTACAACATCATGGATTTGGTTTCGCCACTCACAGTCTACTAAAAATCTACAACTTAATAGCTGAAATTTAAAATCGTTGGAAGGAATGAACTGCCAATGTACCAGTTTTGACAGAATAGAATCAAGGCACACAAGATTGAATTGAGAAAAATGTGTTTGGAGTTATATCCTCCCATTAGACGCAATTTTAAAGTGGTGAAAAAAGATCCCCCTGTGGGAGATTTCTTCTGTTCCCATTCAAAACAAAATTTGAAGCATAGCAAGGAGATAAAAGCTAGAAAGCTTTTTTCGTGAGTCTGAACGAATCTTGGTACATTAAATGTATTATTAAAAGAACTGGGAACACAAAAAAGATTTCGTATGTGTGTCGAGTGACTTTCAAGCGGGCCTTCGGAAAACGTATGTTTGCAGTCATCTCCGAATGTTTGAAAATGTTTAATGTCAAATGTAAACAGAAAATTGTAACGATCTTATGAGCTCATCAACCAAACGAGTGTACAACATTTATGTAGTGTTTTCCGATTCAGTTTTATAGATTGTCGTAGACTTTGGATTCTAGCAAGATCACGCACTGATTGATTGTCTTATGTTCACAGGGCCAATAATCCAGGTGCAAGCTGTCATTAAAGGACAGGCTTCTTTGCCTTGCGATATCACACCACCCATAAAAAATGATAGTGTCTTGCTGGTCATCTGGTATAAAAATGGAGAGACTGCAGTTTACAGGTAAATTGATTCAAAAGCTTTCCGCGTTTGGATTCAAGTCCATGATTTTTGTTCTTCTTTCTTTCTCATTTAAATGTTCAACTTGCTCCATTTAATACGAGCATGTGCCAAAATTGTGTGTATCAATAAGCATTCCCTTAACCGTCCAGTTTAATAGTCTTAAATGTGTAAAATGACACTCTATAATTATAAGTATGTGCACAAGACATTTAACTCGTATGAGCCGAAAATTAACAATACTCAGAAATGTATGTGTACATACTATGAATCGTTTTTAATAGAAGATTTCGCTTCGATTTTCCCTTAAATTGATGTTGAACATTTACTGCTATTTTGAATTTTATCGTTTACAAAATCGAAAATGTGAATTTGGCTGAATCGTGGCTCTAAAAATTAAGCTATCGTGAACCAGAGGGTCCAAAATACCTAAAAAAATTGCAAAAATAACCTTTGGTAGTAATTGTGAGTCTTACAATGCGGATGAACGGACGGATTCATCCTTAAGGACTCTTTCTATATTTATATTTTTACGATAAGCTCATGTTCTAATTTCGTCATTTGGTTGATACAGCATTGCGTTTAGGTAAAATTGAGTTGTTGCTTGGTTTCACCCTAAATTGTTACTTTTTTGTGTCAACCGACAATATACTTTCACGCAGATTCGCTTCCAGGAGAAAAAATCTTTGTTATATTTCTTTGATTTTAATAATGACCCAGAGAAAATCGAAAGGACCCGAGGAAAAGGGTTTAGAGGTTATGGGACGTGAGGAGGTGGAAGATATGTAAGTGAAGGGAGATTTGTTACGATTGCGGTGCCGCTCAATGGGAAGAACTCGACTTCGGTGGTAAAAATAAAAGCGGGGAAAAAATTGTGTCAACGTATTTCCCCGAGAAAAAAAAAACGGGAAGCCGAAGACGGGGGGAGGAAAGCGAGGCGAGAAAAAAGGACGCGGCGGGAGGGAGGAGAAAAAAAAAGTGAGAGAGAGAAATTCCAATTAAAGTAAGTCTGAGACAGATCTGAGAGCTGTCAGAATGGGCATTTTCTAATTTTCTTGTCTCGCGGATCCGGAGCCAGGGCTCCAAGCAGTGGCGTGGCGTGAATTGCGATGTATCGATCGTTTTGCCATTTAAACCTATGGTAAAGAATCGATTATTACGGTGTCGGCTGCGAACACCCTATTTATCGATCCTTTTCCATAGGTTTAAATGGCATAACGATCGATTTATCGTAATTCACGCCACGCCACTGGCTCCAAGTCAGGCGGGGCGAGGATGAATTCTTGAACTGATAACCTCCTCCTATCCGGGAAGGTATCTAAAACCAATCAGTTGTAAAATCGGCTCGTTCCACTCCGCTTTTTCAGGCGTTTAATACAACTTTTATCACTCCCATTCCGATAATATTACATTCACGCCGGAGCCCGATCGCTTTGCGGGAGTTGGGTGGCATCGGTCCAAGTGAACTTGCCACCCCTTCACTCCCCACCCCTTCGCGCGTCCCGCCCGAAAAGCCTCAAATCCCAAGATGCGTCCACCAACAATCTTGCTCCTGGTCCAAGGTTGGAACACCCCGAAAGTGATTAAGTCCCCAATAAAACAGACAAATTAATATTTAATTATAGCGGAGGGAGTAAACGAGTTCAGATGCGAGATAAATGGGCTGCGAGCCAACGACTCGGCTGCCAGTCGACGACCTCGCTAATCTGGTGGATGCATCTTTTGTCGATCGACCTTTTTCTTTCGGGAGGGCGTAAAGCGTCGAGCGGCTCAGGTTTGATGGATTAAATTGCAAGGGTTAATGAAGCACTTCGGTTGAGTTGACAAGCATTGTATTGTGCACTCTGCGTCTCGTCGAAGGATTTTGGCAGCGCCGATGGAATACCAAGGTATATCCAAGTGTCTCCGTTCCCCCTCTACCGTGCCAAGGAAGAACATTGTATGAGCCTTCAGGCGCTGACAAATTTCTTTTAAAAATACGAATTTTTTGGGAAATTTGTAAATATTTTCTTCCGAATGTTTAAGGAGAGGTGATCGCAAACAACTCCGAAATGTAACAAAATTAAGGAAAATTATTTTAACATTTCTTTAAAAAAAACATATGCACATTTAAGGAGATTTGGCAACGTCCAAATGTTCATAGTTTTTTTTAAATTTTTTAGCACGAATGTACTATTCGATAAATGATAACGTGTTCAACGACCATCAACCTAACTGCAACAAATATTGTCTAATTTCCTCGCGTATTCAATTTTTCTACGGTGAACTAGGCAAAACGTTTTGACTTAAATTTTCTTTGGTATATTTTTTTTTCATCCAGAGAAAATTTTCAGAAACATTAAAGGCATTCTCTTAATTTTTACTAAAAAAAAGTTCGAACATAAAATATTAGTAACCATTAGGCAATGTGAACGGCAATGTGAGTAATAAGGCTGATTTCGATTAAATACGCCCATAATAGAAAACGTGATAATATAAGATAATTTTGTTTTCTCACTAGTTTAACATCTAATATGACCAACATAATTGGGCTCGATCATAAAAATCAAATCAAATTATTTTAAATATTCTGGTTGGTCTCAACAAGCTCTGTCGGCTGCAGAATGTAGGTAACTTATTCACACTGAGGACTCGGGAGATATACTCTGAAGCTGCTCACCACCGCGGGAGCTAGCTGTATTTTACTAAGTAGGGTGATGGTGGTGAGTACGGTAAGTAAAAATAGGTAAATCGACGCCGATACATCAGGGCGTGGGAAGAAAAAGGAGGAAGAGGTTAAGTTAGTTCCTGCTGACGTTTCGAGCGTCATCCGCGGGTATTAACCTGTGATTAATGATGGCTGAAATAAAGTCGTCCGACGTGCGGTTTGAATATATTACTCTAACAATAACGGCAACTTTGTTCCCTATCCGCCGAAAACTTTTTCTTTACCCCCCTCCCGCCGCCCGCCCAAGCCCTACCGCTTAACCTGGGATAAAGATAGTGAGCCGAAACTTCGCCCCCCTCGCCTGTCTCTTAGGTACCGCGACAACTCTGTCAATAGTACATTTTCCTACTCCCCCTTCTTAACGGTTAACGGTATCCTTCCGGTCGAGGGTATGCAAAACGCCCCGAAACAATATCCCGGACTCTTTATCTTCCGAACACCGTTTGCATCCTTGTTCCTGTTCTCAAAGCCCTTGTTGTCTCCTCTTTCCAAATTGCATCGCTAAATTTTGACCCTCTGGAAGTTGGCTTTAGATGAATGACTTTCCTGGAATGCGAGGTTGTTGCACGATTATGGATTACTGAAAAAGTTAGTCGGGTAAGGTACAAGAGAGATTGTTGGCTGCTTAGAATATATTGGAGGGGGCAGGGGGGTGCCTGATAAAAAAAGGTACCCGTATTAAATTGATATAGTAGTATTCAAGTGTGGACTTGACTAAGAAAACGAGCCCTCGATCCAAAATAATCAAGTTGAATTTTTAGTTTTTTGGAGGTCAAATTGGACAGTTTTCGTAGAATTGCCCATATCGACGGTGAAACTCCTAGGTCACGTATCTCGGTTTGCGACGTTGTTGACCTCCTGTCGTACTTTAATTTTTAAATGGAAAACTACTCAACGTCAATTCTTCAAAACTTCCGTGGTTTTTCTTCTCGTTGCCAAGTAAACTCTGTGAAAATTTCGAGAAATGATTTGATCTGTTTTCCTTTAAAAAAATTAACTGGATCGGAGACTTTTAAACACCGCAAACGAGATACGTGGTCTGGTAGTTTAGCCGTCGATGTAAGTTTCACGCCAACTAGCGACCGCACTGTGTTTGGCGCAATGCTTGAAGTATTCCTGCAGTCTTGTAGGCGCCAATATCGGTCCGCGCCGGCCGACGACCGCACTGAGTTTGGCGCAATGCGTGAAGTATTTCTGCAGTCTTGTAGGCGCCAATATGCGTTTTCTGAGACTCGCACACTTTTTTACATCCAAAATATTAAATCAGCCTCTTTTCTTTTGCTGCATTAACTGAAGATGTACTTTTTATGATCTGCGGTCATATTCCCGAGAAACGTTCACATTTACGAATAACATTAAATCGTTGGCGTAGAAAGAACAAGAGTCGTGAGCGGTACGAGGCCATCGGCTTCCACGCGCGTACGAGGTATTGTCAAGAAAACTGAGCTTTGTTAAGGTTAGCTTGCTCGGTTGGCAGCTGACGGGGCGGAGACACAAGAGGAGCACAATGTTCGGTGCACTTACGGCTCAAACTTTCGATTCGGAGCGTGCACCCTGCACAGTTTCCACATCAACATGAATGACACGCGCCTTTGTGGCATCGATAAAGGAATGTTCCTCGTGCAAAGCGCGGTAAGCCTGATGGTAAAATCTTGTCTCTCAGCTTGACAAAGTCTAACAATTAAAATGGGTTCAAATATCCTCCGGAGTGTTAACAACAATTTACTCTCGTGCTCTTGTCGAGCCCGGGAACTCGCGCATATTCTGACTCGCTAAGGAAAAACACCGTATGAACATTCGAGAGTTGCCAAATTTCCTCTCAGAAAATAGTCATTTATTAAGGAAGTTATGAATATTTTTGCTTGGAATTTTTAGGAACTTTAGGTGAAATTGCGAAGAAAATTATCTGAAAAATTGGAGGGAAAATGTTCACAGATTTTCCTGAAAATTCGTGATTTATCGAAGGAAATTTGGCAACGCCTGAAGGTTCATACGGCGTTTTTCCTTAGCGCGGCAGTTTTCCGCTCCGTGACGGGGCTTTATCGAAGAGCTTGGACTAATACGGCGGCCCCGTCCCGCCTACAGTGAAATATTCATCTCCTTTTTGACAGCAAGGTACGCCCGTCATGTCATTTCCTAATCTCGGTCTCGCTAAAGAATATAACGGGAGCCGATTATTACGGGAATGTTTCGAAACAACAACCTGTTTTACCTGCGATCGCTTTCCCTGAAGCCGTGACAGTTTCAAGTTTCGTCTGATTTGCTGCTCGCCAATTATTACTTCATTTCTAAAATT